GATGGGTCTTGTTTTTTAATCCAATCTGATAGCCTGTGTCTTTTGATTGGGGCATTGAGCCCATTTACATTCAGGGTAACTATTGAAAGGTATGAATTTAGTGCCATTGTATTGCCTGTAAGGTGACTGTTAACTGTATGTTGTCTGTGTTCCTTTCTGATCTTTGCTGCTTTTAGGCTCTCTCTTTGCTTAGAGGACCCCTTTCAATATTTCTTGGAGGGCTGGTTTCGTGTTTGCAAATTCCTTTAGTTTTTGTTTGTTCTGGAAGCTTTTTATCTCTCCTTCTATTTTCAATGACAGCCTAGCTGGATATAGTATTCTTGGCTGCATATTTTTCTCGTTTAGTGCTCTGAAGATATCTTGCCAGTCCTTTCTGGCCTGCCAGGTCTCTGTGGATAGGTCTGTTGCCAATCTAATGTTTCTACCATTGTAGGTTACATATCTCTTCTCCCGAGCTGCTTTCAGAATTTTCTCTTTGTCTCTGAGACTCGTAAGTTTTACTATTAGATGTCGAGGTGTTGACCTATTTTTATTGATTTTGAGAGGGGTTCTCTGTGCCTCCTGGATTTTGATGCCAGTTTCCTTCCTCACATTAGGGAAGTTCTCTGCTATTATTTGCTCCAATATACCTTCTGCCCCCCTCTCTCTCTCTTCTTCTTCTGGGATCCCAATTATTCTAATGTTGTTTTGTCTTATCGTATCACTTATCTCTCGAATTCTGCCCTCGTGATCCTGTAGTTGTTTCTCTCTCTTTTCTCAGCCTCTTTATTTTCCATCATTTGGTCTTCTATATCACTGATTCTCTCTTCTGCCTCATTTATCCTAGCATTTAGTGCCCCCATTTTTGATTGCACTTCATCAATAGCCTTTTTGATTTCGACTTGGTTAGATTTTAGTTCTTTTATTTCTCCAGAAAGGGTTTCTCTAATAACTTCCACGCTTTTTTCAAGCCCAGCTAGTATCTTTAAAGTCATGATTCTGAACTCTAGGTCCGACATCGTACTAATGTCCGTATTGAGTAGGTTCCTGGCTGATGGTACTACCTCTTGTTCTTTTTGCTGAGGTGATTTTTTTCGTCTTGTCATTTTGTCCAGAGGAGAATAGATGAATGAGAGAACAAAATGCTAACAAGTTTACAACGTCCCCAGCAAATATACTGTATACAAATCAGAAAAGACCTGAAACCAGGGGAAAAGAAAGGGAAAGAAAGAAAAAAGAAAGAGAAAAAAAAAGAAAAAAGAGATAAAAACAAAAACAGAACAATATAAAAAAAGCAGAATATGATCAAATATGATCAGGCTAGTGCATAGATCAGTGCCACACACTAGATTTTGGGCGTATTTTGGTCTGTTCGAAAAAAGTGCCTCCTAAAATTTTAAAGGAAGAAAGACATATATGTACAAAATAAGGGTTGATACAATGAAGGGATGGAAGATGACTGTAAAGATGAAAATTACAAAAGATTTTATAAAAGGACTTGATAAGATAAGAAGTTGTTTGAAAAAAGAAAGAAAATTTAAAAAAAAAAAAGGAAAAAGGGAGAGAATGTGATCAGGCAGGAGACTAGAACAAAGCCATACACTAGTGATTTAGGTTATATTTTGATCTGTTAGAAGAAACTGTATCTCAAAATTTTAAAGAGAGAACAACCTATATATATATGCCAAAAATAAGGGTAACTACTATGAAGGGATAAAATATGACTCTAAAAATGAAAAATAAAAAATGTTTTTTTTTTAAAAAGGATTGATAAGATGTTGGTTGAAAAAGGGAAAAAGAAAAATAAAAAAAAACAGTTAACAAAAATTAATTTGATGAACTAATGAATCATGGTAAAAAATAAAAGCCATGAATTCTATGTGCAGTATTCCCCTAGCGCTGGAGTTCTCCCGTTCTCCTTGATCGGTAAACTTGGTCTTGGCTTGCTGGCTGTTCGTGCTGATCTTCTGGGGGAGGGGCCTGTTGTTGTGGTTTCCAAATGTCTTTGCCGGAGGCGGAATTGCCCCGCCCTTGTCGGTCAGGGCTAAGCACGCTGCTCGGGTTTGATCTCGGGAGCTTTTGTTCCCTGCAAGCTCTCGGTACAGCCTTGGAGGACCAGGGCAAAAATGGTGGCCTCCCAATCTCCACCCAGAGGAGCTGAGAACTCGGGGCCCCACTCCTCAGTGCGCCCCCAGAGAAAAGCAGTCACTCCCGTGTCCCCGGTCTCCAGCCGCACTCCGTGCTCACCCGGCCTGTGACGGAGAGTCGCTATCTCTGGCACCCGACCCCGTGTGGAGTCTCCAAACCCAGCAGATCCCTGCGGTGCGTTCCCGCGCCGCTCCTCCCTGGGAAGGAAGGGGAGTCTCCCCAGCTCTGCCGCTTGTTGGGTCCCTGCTGCAGGAGCAGTGGCCCGACTGGGCCGCGGATCACAGTCTATGGCAACCCCGAGCTGAGAGCCCGCGCCTCGGCTCCGTCTCTGCAGCCGGCTTCCCCGCTCCGATACCTGGGAGCTCTGCCGCACTCAGGCACCCCCGGTCTTTCTGTGACCCCGAGGGTCCTGAGACCACACTGTCCCGGGAGGATTCCACCCCCTGCTTAGCCACTGCAGCAACGTCCCTCAGCCGAGCCAACTTTTAAAAGGTCCGATTTTGTGCTCCGCGGCTCTATCACTTGCCAGAAGTGGCCGGCGGAGGCCCCTCCCCCGCCGTCAATCCTCCCGAATATTGCCTCGGATTCACTTGTCCGCACGTCCTACCTTCCAGTAAGTGGTCGCTTCTCTGTTCAGAGAGTTGGTGCTACTCTCCTCTTCGATCTCCTGTTGAGTTCGTAGGTGTTCAGAATGGTTTGATCCCTATTCAGCTGAATTCCTGAGACCAGACGAAATCTAGGTCTCCTACTCCTCCGCCATCTTGCTCCGCCTTCCACCCCTGCTTCTTTGTGCCCCTTTGCCTCTTCCTCCTTCACACCTGGCATCACTCTCGGATTTGTTTGTCCCCTTGGGTATTGTGCCTGCCGTCACCCCACCTAGACCACAAGCTCCAGGAGAGCGGAGACCATGTCTGTCACACGCTGTTCTACCTCTGAGGTCTGGAAGAACGCCTGGCACAGTTTGTGCTCAACCAATATTTGTTGAAAGATGAGGGTTGCAAGGCCTTGGCAGGCCCCCGAGGCCCGGCGCTGTGTCTCTGAGGCAGACTGTGGCCTGAGTAAAGGGCAGAGGAGCTGTCGGTCCCAAAGCCTGCCTCTTTCATAACTCATGCGTCATCTCCCAGCCAGGTTTCTAAATCTTATCCACCGTGCTGCTCATGGGCCAAGGGAGAAATACGCAGAGACACAGACTGAAAGCCAGGAAATCGGATGGGACTCAGAGCCCTTGGTAAGTGTGGCTCCTTTTACTTAGGAAGCACAGAGGAAACAGTGTGTGGTTAAGAGAACAGTGTATGAAGCCCGACTGCCTGGGTCTGAGCGCTGGCTGCCACTTATAAGCTGTGTGACCCTGGGTAAGTCACTGAGCTCTTCCGTGACTCTGTTTCCTCAGTGTAACATGGAGATAGTCCAGATATTACAGAATGAGGTGGTGTTCGTAAGGTGCTTCGAACAGTGCCTAACATGTAGCAGACACTGTGTAGGTGTGGACCAAACAAAGCCCACTGGCGACTGCCGGCCCGAGTTTGCTCTGCCAGTTACTACGAGGGTGGTCTTGGGCACGTCACGTAGCCTCACAGGGTTCCATCCCCTTATCTGTAAAATGGGAACGCTGGTAACAACACGCCCCTCATTGGACTGGAAACGTACCAGTAGCTGTGAGGAACCTGGGAAATGTGATCATCAGCACATTATCACCCCACAATGAGATAGGCTTCTGGTACGAAGACAATTTGAAGGACTTCCTGCCACATTTGTCTTTTAATTTGTCCACATCTCTGATTACATAGACCGTTTTAGTTTTTGAGTCAGATGTGCCAGCCTTTTACATCACGGTTTCTGGGGTTTATGCTTTGCTTAGGAAAACCTTCAATATCCAGAGTTGCCAAGTGACTAGCTTTCCTTTTAGATTTTTCTCCAAGTTGTCGTATCTTCTTAACACTTGGCTTTTAGTCCATCTGGGTATTTGGCACCTGATGGGAAGTTGGAGACGCTCTTCCTCAGCTATATCAGAACTTCCTGCATTCCCTCAAAGGCACCAGGGTCTTGCACGCCCTGTATCCTTACGTAGACTGCTCCTGCAGCCTGCCTCCTGACCCTAACCTATACCCCTTTGGGGAGGTCCTCCTCGTCCTTCAGGACTGCTCAGGAGTCACCTCTACATAAAGCCCCAGGAAGGGACGTGCGCACTCCCCACCAGGCAGAGCCGGGCACCTTCCCAGTGTGCTCCTGGAGCACCGCATGCCTCGGCACCTGCACCATTCAGCTCAGTTCCGTGGATCAGTGTAACATGGTGGCTCTAGAGCCAGTCAGCCGAGTTCAAATCCCAGCTCCACCACCTTCTGGCTGTGGAATCTGAACCTCTCAACAACCATTTACCCACCTTAAAATGGGAATAATAACGCTGACACTTGAAGGCGTGTTGTGGGGATTAACTGAGACAATGTGTCTAAACTGCTTAGGGCAGTGCCCAGCGCATAGTAAGTGCTCAATCACTGCGGACTACTGTGATGCCAGTGGGGAGGATTAGGCAAGAGAGCTCGTAGCCCAGCCGGGGAGCAAGCACCTGCTTCTCTTGGCCCCTTGGCCTGATCCCAGTTGCCGTCCTCTACTGAGCGTGCACCCTTCCCCAGAACTGCCCACATCCTGCGGTTCTTAGCTTTCCACTGCGGGGCCTGGCCTTCTCACCCATTTATACAGCTCTAGGCTGGGGCATGGGGCTCTGCCGCAGGGCTACTGCGGGGAGATTGGAAGAAATAGCTCAGTAAGGAGGGGAGGAGGGAGGGAGGCAGGGAGGGAGGGAGGAAGGCAGGGGCTCAATAAGAAGCTGCTCCTTTTCAACAGCTCCTCTTCAGATGTGGGGCATCACCCTGGAGAGAGGAGACTGGGAGACTGGGACACAGGAAGTGGGTCCAGTGGGAGCACCCCACCCTCACAGGGCAACTGAGTCTAACAAGAGCAATGCTCAAAGGGACAGAGGAGGATGGGTGGGGGACTGACGTACAGTGAACAGGGGCGGGGCTGGAGGGTTGTTAAGGGAAAGATAAATTATCCGAAGTAGATAATTAAGCAACTTCAAAAAATATTACAAAGCACAAATAATTTAACTCGCTCTTCTTCATTTTCTTAAAGAGGAAAGGCCTGGCTCCCATGGGTACAGAGTGTGCATGTGGAAATGCATCTGTGACCAGCATATCTCATGGCAGGCTCAGATGGCCGTAACAGGAAGGGCCAGTGAGGGTGCCCTGGCCAGCCCTGCACTGCTCCAACCCTCCTAAGCCTTGCAGATAAGCGACAGTGTGTGCCAGCAGATCAGCCATCGCTGTGGAGTTGCAAAGGCTCTACGAATACGCCAAGCCTGTTCATCGTCACAAATGTAGGGACAGTGCTGTCAGATGGCGCTGGTGGCAGAGTAAGAAAGTATAGCCCCCAAAGTTAGATCCAGGTGTCGTGCAACCATAACAGTTAATTAAGCCGGAGGCTCAGCGTGATATGATTGGGGGCAGAAGAGGCTTGATCAGCCCAAATTTAACGTAGGGCTCCCTGCCCCCTAGCGGAACCTCACCCTGGACAAGCAGACAACCCCAATCCCAATATTGGGACACTGGGGAAGCCACACTCAAATACCTCTCAGCTTCTGCTCTCCTAGTAACATCTGATGAAGATGTATCCTTTAATTGTGTAAGTTCATCTTAGAGCTTCTATACAATTTATGTCAGAGTGCTTGCTCTTAGTTCTCTGTGTAACCACATCAACAGCATCCATTCTTTCATTCCACAAATGTGTCCTGAACCCCTAGGGTGTGCTGGATACTGTTCTAGGTGTTAGAGATAAGCAGCTACTGAAACACAGAACAGCCGCCGTCCTGGAGCTTCCTTCCAGGGGGACCAAGAGTCCAGAGGTGTGGCGTCCAAGGCAGGTGTGGGAAAGGGAAGTGCAGCAACTCTGCCTAGGTTACAACTATTTTGATGTAAATGCTGTCATTTCCATTTCCCAAACAAGGTTGTGCAAGGAGACACACTGGAGGCCACACATTCGAGCCCAGGTCCATCCGATGTCGAACCCAGGTGTCCCACCTCCGATGAGACTTCCTTCTGATGCCTGCGTTCTCCTCTCTAGGTCAACCCGGAACGTGATGACCGCAGGCTGAACCACTTCAGGGTCTACAATGATATCACGCTGTACAAGGCTAAAATGTGGAGCTTGGGAGAGGACGATCGCCACAAATAGTCTTCCAGTGCTGACACGGCCCTGTCTTTAATACCCAACGTGTGCGCTGCTCGAATGAATAAAGACTACTTTCAAGCCTTAGTCTGACTCTTCCTAGCTGAGTCTCACATTTCTGCTTTCTGCCCATGTCCACTGCTTCAAATTCTTGATCTTATAAACTAGTGGCAGAATTTCAGGTTAAGATGCATACAATATTCCCTCTGCCTCCCCAGGCCCCAATAAAGGACAATAAAGAGACAAAAACATATGAGCGCACAACAGAGAGAATGGGAGAGGAACGTCAGCACCCAAGAAGACTGAAGACATATTTCAAAGATGGAAAGCTGATGGAGGAAGGTGAGGAAACCACAAATAGATCACACTGAATGGGACACCTCAGACCACAGAACCCTGGAGAAAGGTTCAGGACTTGGAGAGGAGGGGGTGTGAAGCAGGGAACTGAAAATGGACGTTGGGAGGGAGATCCTCTCCCCACACACCAGCCAGGCATGGAGCATCTCCCACACTGGAGGTCTACTCTTGGAGAAACAGGGAAAGCCCAGGGTTCAGGGCCAGCGAATAAAACACAGGGTAGGAGTGAGGTATGAGGCTACAAGCAATGAAAATCTGTCAAAGGAAGGCTGAACCCCTAGCCCACATGTACATTGCGTTTCTACCCTGGGATCGAAGCTGGCAGGTTCCTCTCTGGAAAAATGATATGGCTCTGAAGAAAAGCCCCCCGTGTAGTACCATTGGAAGGTCCCATGGAGAAAGAGGCACAGAACTCCGGGCTGGTGAGCGCATGGAGGTGCTGGGAGGGGGGAGCGCCCCATAGCACCCGGGAGCCCTGCGCCCACCCACACCTTTCTCCATGTAGCTCTTGCATTTGGCTGTTCCTGAGTTACGCCTGAGAGGGTGAAGCCATAGATTGATTGATGTGATCACTCCTGCTTTTGGAACCTGACAAGATCGAATGGAAGTCTGCAAATCTGAGTGACCTTGCCCCGGGAGACATTTTCATACAATATGAATTATTGGGCAACTAGAAATGTGCCCTTTTGCTATAAGGGATCTGTGGTCAAAGACCAGGAGGTGACCTGTGCTATCACAGATCTATGACTTTGTCCCCAGTTCCTGACACAAAGCTCTTAATCCCATGTCATTTCCTTAGAGGTGATAAGGGCACCTTTTATTCTAACAAGGCAACTCTTAGCAGCCTCTAGATAGCTTCAGAATGGGGGCTGCTCACCAGAAAGACCAAATCTTGATGAGAAACTTGGAGGTTTAGCCCCACCCCCCACCTCTGGGGAGGGAAGAGGGACAGAAGATGGACCATCAACAGTGGTTAGTGACTTAATCAATCATACCTACATAGTGAAACCTCCATTAAAAACCCCTAAACTCAGGGTTTGGAGAGCTTCCAGGCTAGTGAACACATCAAGGTGCTGGGAAGGTATCATACCCGAAAAAGGCAAGGAAACTCTGAGCACCCTCCCTACCCCCATACCTTTAAAACATTTTGTCAAAATTTATTAAGATCCCCTTGCATGATTTCAGCAAGCAGCTCATTTTTCTGGTCCTGCACTACTGAGCAAAATGAGGACTGCCAGTGTACAGAGTAACAGCTTACTCTCATGTTGAAGAAGTGAATGTGCTGTATTTAAAGGAACAGACCTGCAGGAGCAGGGACGACTTTCAGAGCCAACAACTCTGTGATGAAGAAGAACCAGGGACCTGATCTATTTTCTAATTTATACTAGAATCAGAATTAGCCTGACATCTCTGCATATCAACTGTCTGCCTTTTATGCTTTTCTCGAAATGCAATATCCAAGATGATGAAGAGATTTTTTAAAGTTCATCAAAGTACTAAAAGCTCCTATTGTTAAATGCATAAAATGAAAAAAATAATAAAACTAGCATTTGGTAGACTAGAATTTAAAACGTTAAACACATTGAGAATCAAGTGTTTTGCTTATAAAAAAACAAACAGTGCTTGCCTTTCTCCTTGTGCAGGACATGGAGCAAGCTTCCTCTCTGCGCCTTGGCAAACTGTCTTCCCCCCATTTGGATTCGCTTCCACCATTTTATCACCTGTACTTTCAACGTTACAGAATACCCCCGCAGGCTCCTTTAATGTGAACTTTCCTACCGGTGTCACCTCCTCGGGGACATCTTCAGCCTTTTTGTCATCTTCCTCATCACGCTGATAAGCTTGCTCTCACTCCCTTTGGGGCTGCATATCGAGTCTCCAGAGAGCAAGTGTCGCCATTCCCTTGTCACCTCTTTTCTCCTATGGCTCCACTTGTGTCCTATTCAAATTTTACTTCCAACCTTATCGCCTGCATTTATTCGTCCTACTTTCATCTTTCTTGGTGGATTCTCTTTCAATTGTCTGCTTTTGTAAAATGTGGGTTTATGGCTAGAAGACAAAGAGGCCACCCAAGGGCACTCTTTGCCATCTGCGCGTGAAAGGAGTAAGATGTGTAGTGACCCACCACCCACGTACCTGCAGTGACGGTTGCTCACCACTCATTATGCCTGTTATTTAGATAGAGATTTGTGGCCTGTAGAGCTAGCAGCAAAGTTTCTACTTTCTGCAATTACTCATGGTTAACAATACTTGGGTCACTGAAATGTGAACAGCGTTGCCAAGAAACTGCTACCTTGAGAGCTGAAATCCACCCACAAGCAAGAACAGCCTGCATTTGGCGCTGGGACCTGCCCGGTCCCCACCTACGTCTCAATGCATGGGACTGCAATATAATGCAATGGGAGGGATAATTCTGCCTGCACCCTGGTGATACTTTGTGGGCTGATATGGTAGAGGAGGTGACGTAAAGGACTTCTATGAAGTATATCTCTGAAATTGAGGAAAGTGATTCCATTTGCTATCCAAGAAAAAAAAAGAAAAGGAAGAAAGGTAGGTACAAGTTTTCAAATTCTTTAAAGGTACTAGCAATAATGACTTACTTTTGGCCTTACCAGTGTGAACTGTTAAGCTGTGTTCTCCTTTCTTAAAACTCTCAATATGTTCCACACATAATCCAAAGTCTTGAACTGATTCTGAGGCTCCTTATTTGAATTACTATACGTTACCCCATCCACTAATATTGTAGATTGTCAAAAATACGTCAGGGTAAAACATTTTGGTCTTCTGAACATGACCTGTTCGCTCAGAATTTTGTTAATTGAAATTAGTTTACAAAAACTAAACTCATTCTTTTTGTACCAGAAAGAATTATATGGAACGAGAAATTTTATATACCAATGATGCTACAAGAAAGGAAACAATGTGAAAATAAATAATATTTTCTGCTTAAAAATATACAGTTCTCAGGTATTTCCAGCCTCCCTAAAGTATGGTTTCTAAACTGGAATGGAGAAAAGGAAAGCAGGTAAACAAACTTCCTACCCTATCAACACAGAGTAAAACCCACCATGCAACGTGGCCTGCCCACCCAGGTCCCACCTATGCCTAGCTTCCAGCCAGCATTTGAGTACCTCTCAAATATGTACCACCGAGGCTCAGACATTATGAAAAGCCCCCAGGCAAAATAATTCCAAGCAGGTATAAGCTCTTACCATATGGCAGGCAATGTTCTAAGCATTTTACGTATGTTCACTCACTTAATGCTGACAGAAACTCTATTTAGTAGACAGAGACGACATAGCACAGAAAAATTAACACGCCCAGGGTCAAACAGCAAGTAAGCAGTAGAAACGGGTGTTAAACCCAGCAGTCTGGCTCTTGACTTCCACACAGCTCAACATGAAAAAGGGGGATCATAATGCACAGGGAGGGGCCGGGGGAAACCCAAGGAAACAGAATGAAAGGAACAGAAGAAAAGTCTTAAAAAACCAAAATTATAATTCACATTCTGAGATAACAGAATGAAGAACTCTTAGGGGATAAAATGGAAAATGAAAGCCAAAATAAATATTCACTAGATGATTAGAAAAAAGAACCAAAGAAATCTTTTCCCTAAAGTGGAACTAAAATACAAACTGAGATCATCAGAAGGGATTCAAAATGTGACTAACAGAAACTCCAGAATTAGAACAAAGAAAATAGGGAGAAGCTATCTAATAAAATTTGCCAGAACTGAAGATCCAGCATCCTTCCAAATACCCTAACCAAAGAATAAAAACAGGCCCACACCAAGGCATGTCATCATGGAATTTCAGATTGCTGGAAGAAAAGCTTCCAGAGAGAAGAAAGAGAAGGAATGGCAGCAACTTCTCAGAGAGGAGGCAGTGCCTGCAACATTCTCAGGAAAACTCCCACCAGCCAATCTAAAGGCAACTGCAGAAATGTAGGAGTTCCCAAGTTCCCTTTCCTAGGAAGATTCTGAAGATGGTACACAGCAAAAGAACGCATAAGCTGAGAATGGATTCCAGGAAATAGTGGATCCTATCTAGATGGTCTAGAAGAGACAGGGTGAGAGCTGTATGACAGACCTAGGTTGGAGCAGGAAATTATAAGGTGGATAAAATGGCATGCGTCTAAGGAAAAATAGGGATACAAAAGGAAAATTAGGCATACAGAAAAATACAAAGTAGTAATTAACTCAAGGAAAACCCAAAAGCTGTGCCACAAAGGAAATTTTATCATAGTCCACCTAGCTGACAGTGATGGGTATTTAAACAATCATAATGATATAAACATTGACTCTTGATTTATCTAAAATCGTGATACAATTACTTAGAAGGATGAGGAAGGTGTAAGTTATATCTTCATCTATCATAAAGGAAAGGCAATTTGAATTCAAAGTCTAAATTATCATCCATAAATAGCAATCTTACTTAATACATAAAAGTAACTTCTCCATTTTTTATTCCTGAATTTTTAACCAAGATTATATGTTTCTTTGAAAATATTTTAGTTTATTAAAGAATTTTTTATAAAAAGAAACCAACAGAAGAAATCCAACCGTATGGTGAAATCCCAAGTCTACAAACCCTTTTTCTTGGTTCTCTGTATACAAAGATGCTGCTTAGTGTGTTCTGCTCTTCATTTTCTCTCTTGTCCGTTTTCCAGGTCTCTTCTACGGAAGAAGAAATACCACATGTGGTCATACTGCAGTTTGGCCTTCTGCCCCAAGGAAAAGAAGGGCGTGGGTAGGTGTGGGATGGGACCCATGGCTCACTTACATTGGATCCTTTCTTTCCAGGCCTCTTGAGGCCCTTGCCATGAGCCGTCTTGGCCCGGAAGCTGGATACATCATCATAGCTCTCACGCGTGTTCCACTTGGAGCCTTTCTTCTTTCCACCAAAGCCAAACTTCTGGTTTTTATAGCGCCGCTTAGCACTGGGCCTGGAAAAAAAAACAGGCTTACAGGTTACCCACAACACTACAAATCCTGATGGATCCCATGGCCGACCAATACCCTTAGTTTCCTGTCTATAAGCAAAAGCTCTTAGATGCTACCATTACCCAGAATCTCATCCTTGGTCCTACATTCTTAACTCTAAAAAATTCTCCAGGCAAGCTCATCTACTTATGGTTTTAACCACTAGAGCACGAAAACAAAGCAAGAACCAGGAAAGGATCCACATATATCTTGTGGCTCAACACTTATCCCTGGAAAGCTTCTTCTATTTTAACTAACTCTTGCTAGATCATCCTCAGTTGTTTCTATTCCTTTCAAGGATAGTACATGCAATTAACATTCAAATGTAATAAATTTAAAAACTGGTCATCCCACAGGAATCTCAAATTCAGCATATCCAAAATCACATGCCATCTCCCTTCCTAGAGTGGTTTCACCTCCTGTATATGAACACTGACTCGAGGTTGGTAGTGCTACCATCTATGCCAGCCTCCTAGGCTAGAAACCTGGGTGCCAGCCTTGATTCTTCCTTCTTCCACTCTCTACGCCCAACACAATTACTGAGCGCTGCTAATTTAGCTTCTTGAATATTCTTCAACCCGTTTTCTCTTCTCTGCCCGTTACCACTTTTAGTTCATTATCATTGCTCTCTGGACTTTGCAGTAACCCCCTAATCAGTTTCCCTGCCTCCCTCAAGTCCATCCTTTATACAAGTACCACTGTAATTTTTCAAACACATGACTATGACCTGCTCATTGTTTTAAGTAGAGCCTATCAATGTCTCCCTCATTGCCTACTGGATAAAACCCAAGCTTCTTAACAAGGCAAACACTGCCTCTGTGACTCAGCCCAGGTGCCCCTCCAGCTACGTCTCACCTCCCCTTGCCCCACACTGCACTCCCAGGGGTGCCAAATGTTTGCTGTTCCTCATACACAAACCTGCTGCTCTCATCTCTATGCTTTTGCTCATTTGTGTTCTTCATTCTTGCTGAAATCTGTGTCTCTCCAAGTCTCCTGGTTAATTCTTGTTCATCCTTCAGACTAAGCTCAGGTGCGACTCTCCTCCAGGGAGCCATCCTCACACCCTGATCCCCAGACCGGGTCTGCTATTTCTACAATGTCCTTCCACACTACTTCGTAAATGCCTTTATCATGGCATTAATACATTCTACAGAAATTATCACTTCCCCCAGGCCTGGTGTCCAGGGATGCATAAAGGTAAACTAGGAAGAAAATAATAATATGCGCCATTAGCCCTCTTAAATCTGCATAATACTATGAGGGCAAACAATTTTCTCATTTTCACAGATGAGGCAACTAATATTTAGAAAGGTCAAGCAACTTGCTCAAAGCTACCCAAAATGGCAGACTCTAGACCCAAACCCTAGGTCTACACTCTTAACCATCATACTGTGAGATGAGGAAATCAACTTTTACTGAGTATTCACTTAAAATGTGCCAAATCCTTAAATAACGCTACTGTAGGTTTTTCTTTTTTTCATAATTTTTTTTTTTAAGCTCTACATCCAACGTGGGGCTTGAACTCATGACCCCAAGATCAAGAGTCAAATGCTCTACTGAGCCAGCCAAGCACCCCCTACATCACCCTACTTTAATCTTCCAAGACTGATAGGGCTAAAAGGACCCATCGCATAGGCTTGTAAGCCTTGGTCACAGGCAGCACTGTGCCCTCTCAATTCTTAGGCCACTCCTGTGGAGGTCTTCACTTGCTCATGGACTGCTTGCCCAGTACCCACCACAAAGCCAAAGCAAAACCCTTCATACCCCTTCTTCATCTGCTGGCCTTTTGCTCCTTCGTTCGTTCTCCGTGCAACAGGTTTCTGATCCCCCTCAAGGAAATCCAGTTTATCAGAAAAGCCTAGGAGTGAAGAGGTACTCTGATCAGCACCAACACATTTTAAGAAAAGCTGAAGCTTCAAAAAAAGGTTGTTCCTTGCTAAATTAATTTTAAGAGGCACATCCTGCTCCCCACACTGTTCCCAAACCTAGTTCCAATGCAATCAAGGCTCTAGAGCAGGAGGTGTTAAAATTTGCAGCTGCCCCTGCCCCCCTATATCCTTAGAAGGGAGATATACTGACCTTTCTGGTATTTCTTAATGGCATTCATCATATGTGTTTTCTCTCGCTGCCTCTTCTGAAGAACCTCCGTTTGCACCTGGGACATAAACACAGGGCTGTCACGCCCCCTCCAGACCATCATCACTGCAGGTGTCTCCAATCCTCTTGGTATCAATGCTGTGCTACCACCACCACCGAACATTTACTCTATGCCAGAACTATGCTAAGGCTCTAAGTACATTGTTAGTTTATCTTCTCAACTACCCTGTAAAGTAGAAATTCCTATCACCCCCTGAAACTGAAGCACAGAGAGCCTAAGTAACTTGCCTGAGTCACACAACGAGAAAGTGCACAGCTGAATTCACACCCCGAAGTCTGCACTCTTACCCCATTACACAATCATGCCTACAAAACCATAGCAAATCATGTCTAGGTCTACATCCAATTCTCAGATTAAGTATCTAGCCCCTACCGTTAGTAGGCATGAAAAGTATCAACAGAAGCAATCTCCCAAAAAACCAAAAAGAAAAATAGCTGTAAGGACAAAAGCAGGTGCTTACACTCGAAGGCAGGGTTTCTCAATCTCAATACTACTGATAGCTTGGGACAGGATCACTCTTCACTGGGGCATGGATGGCCTGTCCTGGGCATTGTAGGACATTCAACAGCCTCCCTGCTGTCTACCCACTAGATTCAAGTAGCACACTCCCCATTGAGACGTGACACCAAAAATGTCTCCAGGCATTGCTGAATGTTCCCTGGTAAGCAAAATTATCCCCAGTTGAGAACCACTCCCATGACATTTCTTCGAATTAGAAACAGTGAACTAATAGGCCCAAGTGAAGTTTTCTTTGCCTTTGATCAATTAGGTTCTGTTACTACCGACCACCCAGGTCTTTGAGTTGACCTCAGCCATCAACCACCAGATCAATCCAATAAATGCACAGCTGCCCTTCCGCAGAGAACAGGATGCTGATCTACTCTTACTCCACTGAGGACCCGTCAGTGAAGTGACTCCAAATATGGACAGCAGCTCACCACCCCAGATCATGAATGTTTATGTCCAAAATGTTGACAATGCTGATCCTCCGCACACTCACTTCTTCCCACAACCCTGACTTTAACTCCTGTCATCTTCTTTCCTAAATAACCATGAATTAAGAGGAAAAACCAAGAAGAGTTTCCCTAGATTTTACATTAGAACTCAGACAACTATAGTTTAAGCATACAGGTGCCATTTTTCCTCTCAGTTGGATGACAATCAATATGGTTCTTTCGAAGACTTTACAATCATCTAGGCCAGTGATTCTCCAAAGCAGGATGCATTTCAGAATCATTTGAAAAGTTTTTGGGGGAAGGGAAGACAATACACACAGATTCCCAGACATTCTGAAGCCTAGAAATCTGTTTTGAAAGATTTCCCCAGGTAATTTTGCTGTGAGGTCAGGTTTAGAGTCCACTGATCCAGACCCACCTATTCACTGTCCAGATGTGCTAATGAAGCCCAGCAAAATGAATGACTCCCCGGCAGTTACCATGCCACCCCCCAGCCCCCGCCCCGGTGAGACCCTGGTGTCAAGGAGAGATGGATCCGAGCACACATGCCCCCTCTGTGGGGAGATAATCAACACAAGATGGAACACACACAGGGTACGGAACCAGATCTGACCCTGGCACCCCAGCCTGACAAACCCTTGGCCACATCCTATGCCCACACACTTTCCTTCTCACCTTCTTCCCATATTTCCTAAGTGCTCGCAGTTGCTTCGCCTTTTCAGACTTCTCCATGGCCGCCTGTTTAGCCTGCAGCTTCTGTCGAATCTAAAACACAAAATGTGGTCAGCTTATGTGATTTCAATCTGGGCTGACCACTACTTAGGGTGCACTAGAACGGGAGCAGATCTTCCCAATTCTGCAAACTGGGGCTCAAAGGAAACTTGTACATCATGTTTTACACCTGAGGACAAGAGGCCCAAAGACTGAGCGCTTTGTCCAAGATACAAAAGTATCAGGGACCTGAAAGGGCCCTTCCCACTCCCAGCGTGCTGTTCCCTTATGCAGAACTGCCTGCTTGCCATTTTGCCCGGAGAAACTAACTTCTCACCAACCCTACTGTCTGCAGACTGAGGTCAAACCACCATGCAGCCTCAGTTCCCTTCTTCAGTGTAGCACATACACATTAAAAACTCAAACCGGTATCAGGTATCCAGGCTTTTCCATCAGACACACACATTTCAGTCAAAGGGTAAGCACCTGTCAGGGTGAGTGTACAGAGATGTGTCCGAGCTCATCTCTAGATTAGCTTTCCCAAGTACCACTGAGACAAGAACTCCCTAAAATCCAGCTTGAGACCCAACAGAACTATTGGAATAGACCTGGGATTAAATTTTGGCAATTCTCTTCCTCCCAAAGTTAAATGAGGACCAATTCTACCCAACTCTAAATTATACTACATCTGATATTAATTAGTCCCTCACCCTAAAGAAAACTAAGGCCCAGAAAAAAGGAACTGTTTATAAGTTATAGCCCCAGCCCTTGGCAATGGCAGGACAAGAAGTATGTTTCTTCTATACACCACGCCATGACCACACCAGCTAGGAAATGCAAACGGCCATCTTTATCTCTGGAACCACAGTTCTTACAGTACTTCTCCTCTCCTTAAATGTTTAAATTAGGAAAAAATCATCCTTATATTTATCTTATTGGTGGTGACTGGCAGCATGAATCTGAAGCAGACAGTTAAGACAGTAACTGTCCTCTGACAACTACTTCCCTATTTTTGGGCTTAGTCTTTTTAAAAATGTTATAGGAGATGGGGCGCCTGGGTGGCTCATCGGTTAAGCATCTGCCTTCAGCTCAGGTCATGGTCCCAGGGTCCTGGGATTGAGCCCCGCATTGGGCTCCCTGCTCAGTGGGGAGTCTGCTTCTCCCTCTGCCTCTGCCTGCCACTCCCCCTTCTTGTGCTCACTCTCTCTCTCTCCCTCTTTGTCAAATAAATAAATAAAATCTTAAAAAAAAAATGTTATAGGAGATAAGCCAGCTGACCACACTTAAGTGTAAAGCCTTCACTTTCCAGAGAAAACCTTTATTTCTTACCTTCTGCATCTGCTGATCAGACTTGGCCATCTCAGCAAAATAGTCACTGGGCCTCTTGGTAGGGACTTTGAGCTGATGGAGGCGGGGTAATACCGCCAGCACTGCAGCCTGGGCCTGCCGGTAGCTGAGGATGGAGGACAGTGTGATGCCGGACAAACTGGGAAATAAACTAAGGGAGAAAGACCTTCTCCTCCTTCTCACTTGCCTATCTGACAAGAACAACCTTGGAGTTATCTATCCATGGTCAGAAAAACTCCCAACATCTGACCTCCACCAGCAAGAACACACACACAAATGAAAATGTAATAAAACCTCATTAACTTGGTATCTAGGAGAAATTTAGCCGTACACTCTAAAGACGAAGGGGAGTTCTGCTAAAAATAAGTTTAAGAGAGTGACCACACTAACAGTACCCATTAACTTACAAACTAATACCAGTTATGAATGCTTATGTAGTCACTAGAAAAAGTTCATGTAAGAACCTTCCAGAAGCAAGTTTTTGTTTAAATAACTTAAAGTACAAAAAAACTTGAACACTGAATACTTAAAAATAAAATTTAAAAATAAAATAAACTGGACTTTGGATTATAACTGGTGGACCAAGGGGCTCTTCTCTCAAACAGGCACAATCTCCTTTAGCTCTTTTGAGTCTAAAGAAGCCCTCCTTCTTACTCTCAGGCTTATGACAACTTCTGAGGAGTACAGGCTCACTACTTTCCCCCCCTTCCCACTCTCTAGCACAGGGACCCTTAACTCCCACACTTGAAAACAAACATACAAACTCATCTCGCGCTGGAAGTCATCTTCTGGATCAACAGTTTTCTGATCCTTGTTCTGAGGTGTTGACTGAGGTCCACTGACTTCCGGCATGGGACCCAGGGTCACATCAAGCCTTTCAACCCATTCAAGATCCCGCTTGAATTCAGCCAAACACTGCTTCAGGCCACTCTAGGAAATTCAAACACTGAGCCAGCATGAAGGACACGGGCCAACGGGCAAAGCCCTAACCCCCAACAACCGGGTCGGTAATTGACCGTCCTAGCAATGCGCAGGCTGAGTCTTCCCTGGGACAAGAAGTCAGCACAACACACAAAAGAACAAACAAAAGAAACAAACAAAACAAAGCAGAACAGTGTTTGTTGTGAGCATCTCGTGTCCTAGGACCCCCGGCCAGGCGCCTGAGCTCACCACGTCGTTCACGGCCTTCTTCGGCCCCTCTAGCACGACATTAAGGCCTGGCTTCAGGAGTCCTTGGGAAAACGCATCCTGCAACTGCAGAGCACAATCGGCAATCAGCACCGAGGGAGTGAGGCCCCTCTCCCGCGCCCAGCCCCGCGAGCTCGGCTGACACCTACCTCTCGGTCTGTGACCAGAGAATCATCAGAATCCGAGTCCGAACCTGACAGCGGGGGAGTGTCCATGTCTCAGCGAGCGCGCGAGTCCACTCTAGTCCACAGAGCCGGGTGGCCAGAGGCCCGCGCGGCCGGAGAGGGGCGCCCCTCGCCGCGGCTGCCTGTCCCCAGCCGCTGGCTCTCACGCCGCGGCCCACGTGGACCCGAGCAGCGCCACCGCCGACTGCTCTTCGCCGCGTCTCAACTTTTCGACGGGGACTTCCGCTTCCGGCTGCAGAAGTACACTTCCGGTTTGCCGTTGCTATAGGAACCGCTCGGGCGCCGGAGAGAGTCAGGATTGCTTGGGACCCATAGGAGTTCTACCGCTGGATACACGAGTAGTCTAGTATCCGGAGGGAAGAAGCGAAAGGTGGGAGCGCGTAGCTGGGGGTCGCCTGGAGAAGCAGGCAGCTGTGAGGAGCGAAGGATAGGGGAGAAGCACGAGCCTCGGGCAAGAGGGGGTGAGGAGGGTGCTGGAGGGGCTGCGGGAGCGGAGGAGGGCTCCGGGGCGGGGGCGGGGCCAGGGGCGGGGCGTGTCTCCGGCCTCACCCGCTGTGCTGGATGTTCTGCAGAACTTTGTGGGGTACCATGTCGACCGTGGTGGCTCAGTCGCTGCATGTTTTTGGTCTTCGATCCCACGTGGCCAACAATATCTTCTTCTTCGATGAACAGATCATTATATTTCCTTCGGGAAATCACTGTGTGAAATACAATGTGGATCAGAAGTGGCAAAAATTCATTCCAGGTAAAAAGCCTTTCCATCCTGACACATAAATTAACCGTAGGTGCCAGATATAAGCAAGATTACTGAAAGGAAAATTTTTTTGTTTTTGTTTTTGTTTTAAGATTTTATTTATTTGACAGAGAGAGAGACAGCCAGAGAGGGTACACAAGCAGGAGGAGTGGGAGAGGGAGAAGCAGGTTTCCCGCAGAGCAGGGAGCCCGATGTGGGGCTTGATCCCAACACCTGGGACCTGAGCCGAAGCCCGACGCCCAACGACTGAGCCACCCAGGCGCCCCTGAAAGGAAAGTTTTTTGGCCAAATTAAATATACGTGTTCCATCATATGAATCGAATGTCTCAAATATGTTTATCCATTGTAGTGTGGATGGACATTTGAGAAACAATAGTTTCTTTGCTATTACAAAGCATGCCACTATAAAGTTTCTTGCATTTGTGTATGCTCATCCACCTGTGCAGATTCTGCAGGGCACACAGCCAGGACTAAAATTACTGGGTAATATGGTAGTACCAATGTACACTTCCACCAGGAGGCATGAGAGTTGCCATCCATTCCCAACCTCTCCAACCTTTGGCATTGTCCAACTTCCTAATTCTTTGCTAAGCTAGTGGTTGAGAAAGAGTATCCCGTTGTAGTTTTAGTGTGCATTTCTCTGCTACTAATGAGGATGAATAGCTTTTCACATGTTTATGGGCTATTCCTATTTAGTCTTGTGTGAATGTCCTGTTCAAGTCTTTTATCCAATTTTTTCTTTCTTTCTTTCTTTGTTAATTTTCTTATTGATTTATGGGCACACTTTCTATATTCTCTATAGAATTCCTCCCACTTTGGGGCTTGTGTTTTCTCCTTCTTTATGGTATCTTGATGAACAGAAATCCTTAGTCTTAATGAAGTAAAATTTATCAGCGTTTTTCTTTTTGTGTCTTGTTAAAGAATTCTTCCTACCCCCAAGATTATTAATATATTCTCCTATATTGTCTCTTTTATACTTTATACTTTTGCCTTTCACCTTTTAGGCTCTGAGTTAGGAGGGTGCTTAGTGTGTTAGGGAAATAGCAAGGAGGCCAATGTGGCCGGAGTGGAGTCAGTGGAGGAGTAGGGAGGGAGAGGCAAGATGGAGAAGTACCAGGGCTTTGTAGGTCAAAGGCTCTTACTCTGATGAAGTAGGAAGCCATGGGGGGCTTCTGAGCAGAGTAACAGGATCTAACTTATGTTTCAGCAGGCTCTGTGGCTACTGTATAGAGATCAGATTTAAGGAGGGGCAAGGGAGGAAGCAGGAGACCAGATGAGAGAAGACGCTGGCTTGGAGTGGAGTGGTGGCAGGCAGTAGGGATAGTGATAGAGAAGACTGAAGAAGGAGCAGGTTTTGTAGAGAGTATGGGGAGGTTAGTTCCTGACATGGTAAGATTGGGATGCCCACTAGTGAGGCAATGGAGATCTTAAGTGAGCAGTTTGATTTTGGGTCTGGATACAAGGCAGGGAAGTCCAGGCTGGTGATAGAAATTTGAAGGTCATCCACACAGAGATGAAATATAAGGTCACTCAAATATCAGAGATTCTCTTAAGGAGTGAGTGTATTTATAAAACAGTAGAACCCTAACGAGTGCATTCTGGGACACTACTACCTTTAGTGCTGGGGAACTGAGGAAGAGCCAGCAAAAGAGTCTTTGAAGGAGTAACCAAAAAGATGGGAGGAGATCCATGCAAGAGGTGAAAATATTTCAAGGAGGAGTCTGTCATCAACTGGGTTAAAACAGTGTGAATGCATTTTACAAGCTCTGCAATCAGCCAACATATATTAAGCACCCATTTGGTGCCAGGCACTGGTGATTGGATGGATGGACAGATGGATGGGTCGGTGGGTGGACGGAAGGACGGACGGGCGGATGGATGAGCAAGAAAGCCATGGCCCCTGCCCTCTAGGAGCTCTCACTATTGTGGAGACATGTATGTATTCAAAGGAGCAGGACTTGAAGATGAGCAGGACATATGCTCTGCCAGGTATGGCTCTGATGCGAAAGAACAAAAGGAAGGAGGGAGAAGTTTTCCTTTGCCTCCTCCAGGCAGTCTCATCTGTACTTACAGTTTCAGCTTCCCACCATGACTCTTATCTCAAATCTGCCTTTTCAGTCCCAACCAGTCCCTGAGCTTTAGAATCATGTACAGCTGTCGGCTAGACCTCTCTACCTAAATATCCCGCAGTGTGTAGCTCCCACACAGTATATCCAGAACTGAATTTGTCCTTTCCTTTTTGCTCCCTCTCTTCGCTTAAGACCCTCCTTTGCCAGATTGTCAAATACATGATAAAGCTATGATTACAAAAATAATGTAGTCCTGCTATAAATATCCCAGAAACCCAGGTATATATATTTGTATATGTAAATGAATTTGATATATCATAAAGGTGGCATTAGGAATCTGTGCTGGGACAACTAGTGAGATATTTAGGAAATGGGAATCAATTTAAATCCTCACTTTATGCCTTTTACCATCCTGAACCCAAGATGAAGTAAAGACTTTAAGGGTTAAAAAAAAAAAAAAAACTAGAACCAAATAAAATGAATAAAAATAAAATCCTTGGATGGGCTGTTTTCAGCAAAACACAGTGGATGTCATCTTCACCATGACCCCTAACTCACCCCACCTAACTGTTCCTTCCCAGCTGTTACCCCTACTTCCCGTCACCAGATGTCAGTCATTGGCTCATTTCTCCCCTTCCCCCTGCTTCACCCAGGCAACTGGTCGGACTTAGCCTTTCTCTCATCTCCCATCCCAGTCTTGTCACTACCATCGTGTTTATGAAATAATCTGCCCCCTGGTTTCCCTTCCTCCAAGACTATCTCCCACACAGTTGCCAGAGGGATCTTTCTACGACATCTGACCCTTCCAAAAATTTCTCTGTGGTATGTCACTTGCCTCCGTGGTAAAGTCCAAATTCTCACGCAAGGCTCCCAGTGACCTAAAACCTGGGTTCTTTGCTGAGGCACAGTGACTTCCTGCAGCCCTTCCAGAGAGGTCCTGCTGCTGGCCAGACTTACTACAGCTCCTTGTGAAGCACAGCACAGGGGCCCATGGCGTCAGGGCTAGCGCATCGTCCCTGCCTCACTCACCCTCCCTGCCCTGGGCTTGAATCTGGGCCGCCTTATCCACGCGGCACAGAAGGCACAGAGCCTTGGGCTGGTGGTACTTTCAGACACCCAAGAAAATGAACATAATAGTAACAAATCCAGTCGGCATTACATTCTTCTTTATACCAATCCAGTCATAAAATATAATTTTTACCATTTTATTTTTTAAACCATTTTATTAATTTTTAACCATTAATGGAAGAAGGGGTCCATGAAAATCATAACACGGGCCTGATTTCATCTCTCAAATAAAGTATTTGCCACTTGAATCTTTGCCTCAACCTCTGCTTTCTAGACCACAACTTCTATTCTTGTCCCTGTTACCTCATGGTTGCAAGATGCCTGCTCTAGCTCCAGATATCACTGACATATTCCAGGAAAATTAGGGGTAGAATGCATTCATATCTGGTTTTTGAGAAAGCACAAGCTTTACCGTAAAGCCAGTCCAGCAGATTTCTGTGGCTGTCTCATGGCCAAAACATCACATAGATGACCAAACCGTGAAAGAGCCTGGGGACTCCAGCCTCAAAAGTAGAGGAGTATCGAGTGCCGGTGGCTCCAAGCATAAAGGCCTACCCTATTCCACCCCTCTAGACCCACCTTTGGATTCCCCTGGCTCGCATGCGATTCTCCAGCCATACCCCGCTGTTTGTAGTTCTCCACCAGGCTGTTCCCTTTCTCACATCCACGCCTTTGCTCTTCCTGCCACCTGCCGCCACCTGGTCCTCCTGGCACTCTTCCCTGACTTCTCCTCTTACCTCAGCCTCAGTGAGGTACCCATCCTTGTCATTTTCCTAATACCCCAGACATAGTGGTACCAAGGGACTGCAGGGATTGACAGTTACCATTTCTGTGACTCTCTCCCGTGTGTCAAACCTGCCACCATTGTGCCTGGTTCATGTTGAGTCATGGTGAAAGCATGATCTGCCCTCATTATCCCCCTTTACCTCTGTTCACAGGCTCAGACAAGAGTCAGGGCATGCTGGCCTTGTCCATCAGTCCCAATCGGCGATACCTCGCCATCTCCGAGACTGTGCAAGAAAAACCCGTCATCACCATTTACGAACTGTCATCCATCCCTTGCCGGAAGCGCAAAATCCTTAATAATTTTGACTTTCCCGTTCAGAGATTTATTAGCATGGCTTTTTCTCCAGACTCCAAATACCTGTTGACTCAGACATCACCTCCAGAATCAAACCTTGTCTATTGGCTGTGGGAAAAACAGAAAGTAATGGCTATTATTAGAACCGACTCTCAGAACAATGCTGTCTACCAGGTACCTCCCCGCATAACAAGTATCGTGCAAGTTATAAAAAATAGTAAGAGCTTGATGGAATGCTTT